TCAATGCAGATAATATGAAATTAGTAATAGTTCCTGTAGATAATATTGGCAATTCCCCGCTAACTGCTGCTATGGAAAATGCAACAGCTAATGACAAATGTGGCAATGGAACAACCGCAATCGTTCTCACATGGACAAAATGGTTCAAAAGGATCTGCTTTAAAAATGATGATGACTGGCCAATTGAGCGAAAACATGCCTATATCGCTATGGTTCTTCGCCAATACTGCGCTATTAATGCATCTCCCACACTGTGGCAAGCAATTATGAATGCATACATCACTGGGTTTGGAACAGTTCAACAGTATCTTTCCAATTGTGATATGGTATATTGATTTAAATGTATACAAAGATTCCCCACTAAATAGTATACAACACTCTCTTCAATTGGAAATTCCATGTTGAGCGGAGATGCTGATAGCAATTCTCTTTTACAATCACTTAACAACTCCATCAATTCCAATGCCACTGCTCAGAATTATAACTCCTCAACCATAGCCGAAGCTAACAACTACGTTTCAAATTGCTACAGCTTCTTCAAAACCGAAACTGACTCCTTTAGACGTTTGAAATTTTTATCGGCACAATTCTCATATTTGAGTTCATTGGCACATTTGTTATGTTACCAAACGACAATTTTTGGGAACGGTTTTCAGTGTCAATTCTGGCAAGTTATCGCCTCTTCACACTTTGTTAGTTACTAAATTCTTATTCTAATCACTTTAAAACTTTTCAGTGTACTAATAACAACGTTACTGTTTACAACCAAACTGTTCCCCAAGATTATGCCCATTGTTGTAAACCTGACAAAAATAACAACACAGAATTAATGCAAGCCATAGATTTAGACTTCAGACCTCTTCTTAGCCCAACTCAGAATTCCTCATTTAGCATCTACAGAAACGCAATTTACAATTGTATATACAAATTATTCTTCAACGACTATGTATCAGCTTATAGTTGCTGCCTTAATTACATTAAAAGTTGCAACAATGTCCAACAACCGAAAGGATTGTTTGCGAAAACAATTCTTTGGCCAGTTTTTAATGCTTCACAACCAGGAACTATTTCCGGAGCATGTGGATGCAGTTGAATGTAATGAATGGAAAGGAAAGAAGGCTTTACCCGAGGGATTTGCTTGATGCCCATTGTGCTCGCTCCCTCTCCCCTCCCCCGTAGTTTAGAATATCAACACCGCCTATAAAATTTTATTCATAAATTTCTTCTTATTAGTGCTAAATCTTTCGCTTATGTAGTTTTTCTTTTATGTGTTTTTGGAAATAAATTGCGGTTGTTGGTTGATTTTTATCTTTTGTTGTTAACATAACATAGTTACTAGGTAACAGTCATTAAAAATAATATATTTTCTATTGACTAGATTAGATCCAAACAGAGGTGGGTAGGAATTACGAGTTCAGAGTTCCGACGTTTGTTCCAGTTCCGATTTCCGGCTCTTCCGATTTCCGACACCTCTGACTGTTCCGACCCACCTCTGGATCCAAATAATGTATGTTAAATCACATTATTAATTAAATTCAATAATTTCAACCAACTGCACCACACCCGACTCTACATGAAACAGGGCAATGTTGATAACTATGTTGTTTGTAGAAGCTAGAGCTACAATAACCATTTCTTACCCATGTAGGACAACTTTTAGTTAATTTTAAAATATAAAACTTTAAAAAAGAAAAACTTACTCTAGCATATCTTTACAATTTTTATTAGGCAGTGGAGGGTCAACTATTCCAGGAGGTCTTGTATTTTCACTACCATCGGGTGGACAAGTGTCACATGTAACTGGACATTGCCAATTCATTAATGCAAGATATAACTTTAATTTTTGTATTTAAGCTAGAGAATAGCCACTTATTAGTGAGTTTACTCTCCTTCCACAAAATAAAAATTTATATGATTTATGGAGTACACAGTTATAGAAAATATTTTTAAAAATGAATTTCTAAGGACAAAAACTTTTACTTAAAAGCCAAAAAAATTATGTCTATTAGAAATTTTCGTTAGGTGAGAATGAGACGTAAACTGCATAAATATCAAAATAAAAATTACTATATGTTTGCAAAGAAATTTTCTAATCGGGCATTCTGTGCCTTTATCATAGCAGCCTACAATATTTTTAAAATTATTCAAAATTTCTAATTATTAAATTATACTCTTATTTCCATTTCCAGTATTATCTAAAAAATTTTTTATTAAATAATTATTTATTAAAACCCACTTCCACCTCCACCCTGATCTGGAGGACCTTTAAATAATTATAAAAATTAAATAACTAAACTATCTTAACTTACAACAATATTCAAAATTTGTTGGAAAGTAATCAGCAACTGGTTTAAAACAAATATCATTACTGTTTGACAAACACTTGGCATTTGCTCCTGTTCCAGTGCATCTTAAGGATAATTTTATTTAAAAATTATATGTCGTATCATGATAAAAGAAATTTTTTTATTTGTTATAATAATTTGTTGGTTAGATGTCATCGTTCGGAATATTAAAATCTATTAGCAAAAATACCCAAAGCAATTTAGGTCCTCTAATAAGTAATTTAGAATTCTCTGAAAATGAGTCAATGGAATATATGCAGCATGGGGCATCTTTTAAAATCTTTGGCATCTTTTAAAATGTTTAGCTTCAATAAATTAGATACTTTTCAAGAAATGCTGCCAAAAATCTTTTGTGTAACTCATGATCTTATGGGCAATCTAAAGAAAGCTCGCTCATTTTTTGCCCCTTCCCCTGTTACTAATTGTCGGGCTCTGTCTGTCTGTACATAGCTTTATGGAATGACCAAAAATTTTACCCGAACTTTCTTATTTTAAATAAATGAAATAAACTTCGATAAATAAATACTCAGTTGAAGCAATCCCTCTATTTCCACCTTTACAATTATAAGTTGCAGTAGATGAACAATAAATTTTAATAATTAATAAAAAAGAAAAAATAAAATAATTTACTAAAATTATTAAATACATTTTTATTTTTTTAATTTAAATTTTGTTTGAATTAATATTTAAATTGGGAAAACTATTGATAATTTACTTATGTGCAAACAAATAAAAAACTTTTTTACTTTTATGAAAAGCCGAGTGAGACATTTACTTTAAATTGAATGATATCATGAGTAAATGGAGGGGTGATTAAAAAAGGAAAATAAAAAGAATTAAAATTAAGAACATTAAAAAATAAATTTCAAATATGTATCTAAGGAAAATACTGAACCTGTTACACCTATTATTTAATTATTTGTCCTGGAAAATTTTATAAAATTCAGACGTCATATGTTATAAACTTTACTTAATACTGAAAATTCAGGAATTTTCAAATAGATTCACAAAAGATTCGAACAAACTCATGGGCTGAAAAAACAATAATGTCTAACAACAATTGATACTATGTAATATTTTTAATATTTTTTTATATTTTTTAGCAAAAATTTGTCATGGTTATATAAGAGAGGGTAATCTGACACCCTATTTTTTTAATAAATCGGCACTATCTAATAGAGCTCGGAATTTCGTACCGTACCGTATTCCGTACCGTACTACCGTATAATACCGATACCGATAAATACCGATAAAATTCAAAATTCTTCCGTACCGTATTACCGATACGGAATACCGAAAAATACCGATACCGATAAATACCGATAAACTTGCAAATTTTATCGGTCAGTATTCCGTATCGTACTACCGATACGGAATACCGATAAATACTGAAAAATACGGCCGTCCGGCTCTACTATCTAATTAAAGTCTAAGGAAAATCTTCCGATGAAAAAATTTTTTAAAAATTTAAAATGTGGAAAACAATTAACCAAACAAATTCTAAACTACTTTAACTGCTTCTATCTACTTGTCAAATACAAATGCATTCCTTTATGTCCTGAAGATATTTATTTAATAATTAATATAGGTATATCCATTCTAATAAATAAATTGGTATATTTTTTCAATATAATGAACAACAAATACCTAATTTACTTAGCTGGCTATAGCTCTGGTAAATTCTATTTGGAAGAGGAGACAGTGATTTTCTATTATGAAATCGTACATAATTGTAAAAAAACAAGAAATTCTAAAAAAGAAATTTACAAAAAAAAATAATAAAAAATAAATTTTATTAAATAATAATGACCTTCCAAATTTAGAAACATCAAAACAATAAAAAATAGAAACATTGGTTTTATTTTGTATAAAATGATTAAAATTATTAATATTAATTTCATTCATTTATTTAATAAATTTAATAAAAAATTATGAGAATTATTACTATAATTTTATTTTTATTATTTTTGTTTGAATTATCAATTGCAGCTATTTTAAATTATGGAACAGTTTTGCAAAATGTTGATCCTGAAAGGATGACACCAGATCGTAAATTAATTTACATAAATTGGGGTTGAATATACCTATCTATTCTCCAACGAAAAAGTGGTGATATAGAAAGACATTTGTTAATGTTATATGTACTCATAAATACTCCAAGAAAAATAAACGGACTAAATGCTCATAGACCCTCGTTCCGCCGATCCTTAAACCTTGTAGGATACTTCTATCAAGAAACCATCATTTATTACTGTGACCACGAATTTGGCATTTTTTGGTACCATTCGATAGACACTTGAAATATTAAGTATGGGGTCCTCTATCGAATTGTACCAAAAAAATAACGAATTCGTGGTCACAATAAAGAATGGTTCTTTGTAAGAGTAGTACTTAGAATATTAAGTTCTAGAGAACCTCATACGGATTGCTCGTTACTTTCCCCACTTACTCATAAATTTTTATCCAAATTACTTTTGTCCTCATTACCCACACGTTTCCTTTAACGATGCTAAGATCTAGCTGTTTATTTAAAAAATACAAAAATTTTTTCAATCAGAAAAACGTTCACTCGTTACGGCAATAAAGGCAATACAAGTGAGCGGTGCAATAACACCAATTGAAAGACGAACACTTTTTGGATTTGATCCAATAAATATGAACCCTGAAACTTTCACTGTTTATGACGATCAATTGGAAAAATTAATCTTAGCGTTGGATCCAAGATCTATAGCTACGAGAGAATTTATTTCTTCTGGAAGTATTTCAGATCAAAATTTTGTTGATGAGGCCGATACTCAAATTAATAGTTAATTTAAATTTTAAAATAAAAAAAATGAGTTTTTTCAGAACTTTTATCGGAATATAACATATTAGCTACAACAGCTGCTAAGGATCCATCAAACACTGCAATCGGTGGCACGCCAGGAGTAACAGATTCTGGAGTCAAGACAAACATTCTCGAACCAGTTTTACGAATTTATATGACCGATATTAAATCGAATCCAAAAGGAGCATTTAATCAGGACGTGACAAGACAACCTAAAGACATTATTGAAGCTGATAAATTATTTGGAGATATTAAATTGGCAATAAAGGCAAATGAGAATTTGGCATCAAAAGGATTGAAAGCTGCTTCTATTTCTGCTATTTCAAGTCAGAATTTATTCTTTAATAAATATCTTTAAATAACTATTAACGAATATAGGACTAGAAAATGCATTTGACAATTTTGTACTTTCCAATTCTCCAACACAAAATGAGAAGGAAATGATTGAAGCTGTCCAAAAAATTGAAAAAGGTGGCAATCTGGACGACGTACCTGGCAGAAAAAGATTCTTCCCAGGAAATACACTACAATCTATTGACCAAATTTATAATTCTTTAAGAAGCAAAATTCCTCTTTATGATCGTGATTATGTACCGGATAAAGGGCAAGGGGAATTTGGAAATAAAATGCCAAAAATGAGAGATTATCGTTTCGTTAATGTTATTTCGGGTAAGATAAATTATTTAGATTTTTATCTTGATTACACAGAGTATTCACCATAGACCTAATTACAAAGGAACTGATTTGTGGATCATAATATTTGATCGGTATCTTGGAAAATCAGTATCTTGACTAACCGAAATTTTGGAAAATTATTTCATCACACCCCATGTCCTAGTAAATAATATCATTTCTTTCTAATTTGATCGCATTTCTTTGAAGATTAGAAGATCTTATATTTAATAGATCCAACCAGTGATGTCAAAGTTCCAAGATTTCTCTGGAACTAGTTCCAGTTCCAGAACTAGGTTTTTAATTTTTGTAGTTCCAGTTCCAGTTCCGGAACCAGGTTTTTAATTTTTGTAGTTCCAGTTCCAGTTCCGGAACTCCATTTTTGAAATGCCTTAGTTCCAGTTCCAGTTCTGGAACTAGTTCCAAGCTAGTTCTAGTTCCAAATTTTTAAATTTTTGAATATGAAAGGATTTATCAATTTTAACAAATAAAGGCATAACACTACTCCCACAATTGACTCGACACTCAACACTTGATAGTCGTCCGTGTCGAGTGTTGAGTGTCGAGTGGTTTCTCATGCAATCTGCACCATGTACTCTCTAGCGTTGAGTGTCAAGTGCTTTTCAAGATTTTTTTGAAAGTTAAAACACTCAACACTTGACACGGATGTCATTGTAGGAGGGTGCACTTGACACGGACGCACGCACGGATGCCCGCACGGAACACTTGACACTAGACAAAACACTCAACAAAACACTCGACACGAATGTCATTGTGGGAGTAGCCTTATTTAAAAAATCATTTAGTGTGCGACAAAATCGCATTCACGGGATCCCGTAACGGGATTTTTTTCAAAATTTTTTACAGGACAGGATGCCGCGCACATAAAAAATTTTAACGGGGAGATCAGAGGATGTGAAAGGATTAATGGATTTAAAAGGATATCTGGGGATATTTTTGGTGATATCTGGGTTATAAGAGGATTATGAGTGATAACGGAGGATTTAGGAGATTGGAGGATAAACTGGAGGATTAAGAGGCCGAAAAAATCCACTTTTTCAGCGCCGCAGGCGAAAATTTTGAGAATTTCTAAGGTCGAGGCCGAAAAAATTCACTTTTTCAGCGCCGCAGGCGAAAATTTTTAGAATTTTGGAGCTCAAGCAGCCAGATTTCTTCCATACTCAGCGCGCTGCAGGTAATTTTCGAGGAAATTTTGTCAAAAATATACCCCCAAGAACTAGTTCCAGAACTAGTTCCAAAGCTAGTTCCAGACATTTACTAGTTCCATAGTTCCAGTTCCAAGCTAGTTCCAGGCACTTACTAGTTCCGTAGTTCTAGTTCCAAACTAGTTCCAGATAATCGTTAGTTCCGTAGTTCTAGTTCCGGAACTGGAACTAGAACTAATTAGTTCCGGAACTGGAACTGGAACTTTGACATCACTGGATCCAACCACTCTCATCAAAGTGATTAAGAGAGTAAAATAGAATCTTCAAAGGAAAAAATATAATCTTATTCTTACAGTAAATAAAAATAATAATTCTAAAATTATTATTTTAGCCTTGAACAGAGCATTTAATTCTCGGATGCGTGATCCAGAATTTCGAACAGAATATCAAAATATTTATAGAAACGGAGAAATATTTAATGAATTGGAAAGAATAGAAAAACCTGGACAAAGCGCCTTACAAGTTTTTAGCTCTGGAACAGCCCCATTAATTGATGGACCTTCACCCGAAGAATTGGATAAAAGATACGAAGAAAAATGTAAAGGTGCCATTGAATTGCGAATAAATGCAAAACCTGGAGCTAAACTTTGGGCGAGAGAAGCAATTAAAAGTATGCTTAAATGTGCTAATTTGGTATAGGCCTCGGAGTATAACATCCCCTTTCAACTTACAATACCTAGTTAATTGTTTTTCAAATCCAGATGTAAATAATCAAATAACAGTGAAAAAAGTGTTCGAAAGGTTCAAATGTTATTTTAAGTATAAACGTTTTTTCACAGTTCCAATAAAACACCTTTCGTGAGTAGAAAAGTCGATTTCCCCGAAACTCGAAAAATACTGGTGAACCCGATTAAGCTTATTCATTTTTGGAAATCTAGTTTATAATAAAAGCAATGAATTTATATCATCTCTATCACAATTTTGATCAAAAGCAGTAATTCTAAATCTGGGTTTTCAAGTATTGTGTACCCCGCCCCCCCCCCCCCCCCATAATAGCCATTATGTAATCACATGTAAATATAATTAATAAATTATTTTTTCTTAAAGAAATTGGTTTAACAATGGATGAAATAGTAAAGGCAACAACAGCTCCACTAAAGCTAAGTAAACCTTTTGCACCTCCAGTCACCCCAACATTTCTTGACAACCTTCGAGAAATTGAGAGAGCTCAAGAATTAAATATGTTTCCACGTCCACAAAATGATGTTCCAACATTTGATGTTAATTTTGGAATGAAAAAAGTAAATGATTTGCAAAAACAACAATTAGAGAATAACAAACAATTGGGTGTTTTGTGCCGTGTAATGTTTGCTAATGAATGTAGGTTATAAAATAAATTATTTTGATAATTTTTGGCACCAATTTATTTTATAAAAATATATGAGAATTCATAAGATAATGGATCAAATTTTGACAAATTTCAATTCAATCAAATCCTAAATTCAATTCAAACAAATCCCAAATTCAATTCTCAATTATATCCATTTATAAATATACATATCTAAAGAGGTTCATAAACCTTCCTTCCTACCAATTCTAAACTGAAATTGATTAAAATGTTTTAGAGATAATCGAACTCGAAAGGTATTTTAGCAGGTTATCATTCTCATTTCTTAATTCAGATTCTTATCTAGGTTGTTGGTTGAATGAATACAAAATATCCTATTGAGATTTCTCAAGGAAATCCCCAACAAATATTTTAAAATAATTTTTGGATCAGCATTTTATTTTAAGAAAAAACAGAAATTTCTTAATGTTTATTTTTATTTTTTACAGTAATGGGGGACGAGTATCTAAAGGTTGTAAGTACAGACAATAATGCAATACTTGCTCAACAAGATCCAGAAGTAAAATTAATAGCTTTACAAATTTTGGGACCTCCTTCAGCTATTCCACGTCCAAATACTCTTGATTATTCTACCCTTCCTGTTTCAATTGATCAAGTTGATGGAAAGTTTAATACACTTTATGAAGAACTTCAATTGGACAATTCTCGAATAAATTATCCAAATTTCTTGGAAATTAGAAAAAAATTTCTGAGAGGTTTTTTGAACAAATAACTAGTGTTAGACCTTTCTTAGAAATTTTTTGTTTTGAGGAGCTACCCAAGGGATACACTCTATTTAAAATACCCCTTTAATATACCACCATGGATTTATCCTTAAGTGAGGTCTGACTTAAGTATAAGACACTAAATTTTTAATACATATTTTTAAAGATTTAATTAATGATTATTTATCACTTGCTGGAACTGACCCAAAATTAAAAAGTCAGGAAAAAACATTCCTTAAAGAATTGGAATCAATTTCAAAAGAAACAGAAAATGCTAGAATTCTTGGAAATCCACAAAATTTAAATGATCCATTAAATTTGGATTCTAATTTTGCTCGTCGACTTGAACAACTCCAAAAATTTGATAAGGATCAAGGATTGATGATTTTTAGACAATTGAAAGGATTTCCAATTGTAATAGATGAACTAAAAAGAAGTAAGGTTTATTAAACGTAGTGAATACATAGTAGTGATTCACCGGAACCGATATTTTGACCGGAACCGGAACTTCCGGTGAACTCTAATAAATAGCCTTTGGGAATAATCTAATAGACCAATACAGTGAAAAACCACAAAATCTTTGTTTAAATATTTCAGCATAAAAATAGAGATAAGGTGGAAAGACTGATTAAAATTTCAATGAAATTTTAGTATACTTTTACTAAATTTAGTGTATAAATTTGAGCAACACTACTAGAACTAAAAATTTATTCTATAAAAAATTCTGAGAATATATTATCAAAAATGAATAATTACTTAAATAATAATTATAAAAATAATTCATTTTAAGAATTAACCGATGCATTTGATAATCTTTTTAAACAAATTCAACCATCCACAAACATTCCACAAATTCCAAATGAATTAAGACAAACTATGTCGGATATTGAAAAAGATGCCAGTAAATTATTAAAAACACAAACTGGACAACAACCATCAACATCTTCACATTCTGGGCCTTTTCAAATAGAGGTTATCGAGAAAAATTATAGAGAAATATATATGCAACGGTTACACGATAAATTATATGATAATGCAATGATTCAATATAAAGGATTGAAAATGAGGGGAATTGAAGCTTTTAAAAGTTGAAAAATTGGAAAAATATTTTTTTAATTTTTTCCTGATTTTAAGAATTAAATGATGCATATCTTTCAATAGTTCCTTCCCAAATAAGTCCACAAATGCCTCCATCTGTTCAATCCTCCACTGATTCAATTAAACAAATTAGAGCTTTAAAGAAGGATGAAAACCTGTTAGGTCCAGGATCTGCAAGCCTGGAAGTTTTGGATAAACGTTACAAAGAAAAAGTTGATAGTTTAAAACCGTTGGATAGAAATGTTGCTTCATTATTTGGATTATATAAAGCAATTAGTTTTACACTTAAACGTAAATTTTTAATTAAAAATGGGCAATTTATTAGACCGTACTATCCGCAAATCACATGTGGTCCGAAAATTTCAGCTGCGTGTTTATTAACTAAATTGGGCTCATCTTAAAAGTTTTGCTCGCGGAAAGCCAATGGGTGCTAAATTAGGAATTATACTATAAAATTAAGAGGAATAGAGCTAAGAAATAAAAAATATTTCTAACTTAAATCTAACATTTATTACTAGAAAATGAGGTGAAATAGTATATGACAATAAAATTAAATCAAAATTAATTTTTATTAAAGAACTTGACAAGCCTTATGAAACTTTTGGTGCTGGAGAATTAAAAGTAGAACCTTTTCTAAGTGCAATAGCCTCAATGCATAAAATTGAAGATGCTATCGATGATTGGAAAGTTTTTGGCCAAAATTCTGATTTTTCCCAAACAGATGGTAAAAAATTGGATGGAATATATTGGCGTGAAGTTGCTACAAAAATTCGTGCTCCTTTAGTTTATCAACATTATGGTTTATATTCAAGAGGAATTCGAGCTATAAAAAGTAAAGCTTTTGGATAAACGATATTTGCGACAAAAATGAAACTTATTAGAATAGGAAAGAAAGATTACTGAGTCAAATTACTGAGTCAAAATCAGGTTGATTAGAGCTTAATTATAAGGTACTATGTGGATGGTTATATCACGTTATATCACAAAAGCATTTATTATCAATAAGGATTAAGCGGAAGTTTAGAGAAGGGAAGTCATCTTACTTGAGACTTTTAGCAATTAATGTTCAACAAGTTCAGATGCTCTACCGATTGAGCTATCTGAACGATGAAACTCTTTTCTCTTATATCAAATCTTAAACCCTTTTATAATTGTTTAAAATATTAGCGTGCCTCTACCGATTTTCTCTACCGTTTCTACCGTCTTTTAAAATTAAATTAATTTATTATTCAATTTTTAAAGAGTTAAATGATGCTTTTGATACTATTGTTAATAGAAAAAATCAAATGTTTACTGGTCAAGTCTTACTTTTACAAAAGAAGTTGAAAGAGAAGAATAATTTACTGTTGATGGAGCTCTATGGGATTCCTCCTCCATCCGATATTCGTTTATTAAGCGAGGAATATATTCGCCAAAAAGAAGTATTAACACCTCAAGACAGTCCAGAATTTGATGATTTTAATGGAATTAAATTAAGAGCTAGCTGGGAGAAGGAAAGTAAATTTTTCTTTAATTTTTTAAATCTAATGCGGAGACTGATTATTACTCAATGAGAGTTTATGGTAATTCCTCGGTTTAGACCCCCCTTTTTTCCTGAATCCCTAACCATTTTGAGCTTATTTGCTTATCCATAATTTAGCACATATCATTCGAAAGAGCTCTTCAAGCTGGGTAGAATGATACCAACATCGAGTAGATTTGGTAATACTTAACAAAATTAAGAAGATTTATCCTCTGTGCTTTTTGTTACTCTGCAAGGGATTAAAACAAGTGATCATAACCTTGTTCAATTAAGTCAGATTTCGTTTATTTTAGTTCATTCGACTCAGCTCGAAAAGCTCCTTCAATTTATATATAGGTAATTAGCCATTATAAGATAACAGAAAGGTAGTATGCAGGAAAATGGTTAATTTAGTTTAATTTAATTAATTTAGTCTAATTAAGAACTATCTGTGAGAAATAAGATTACTGTACACTCTCTTAAATAATTACCCTATTTAATAGTTACCCCCTCATTTTCTACACAAATATTAAAAATATTGGAATAATCATTTTTTTAAACTTTATGCTAAAAGATAATAGAAACTGATTTTTTAACTAAAAGGACTCGCAATGGCATTTTTCCCTCTCGCATCAGGATTTACCAATAACGATCCAGAAGTCCAAACATCAATAGATACAGCCAATTATATTTTATCTGATCCAACAGATACTGAAATGCTTAAAATAGCAACTGGAAATATTCAATTAAAAGATATTGACAACCAATATAACAATATTATTGAAGAAGAATTAAATTTAAATAAACAACAAGTAAGGGAAATGAAAGGATTTGTTACAACTTTGAATGATTATATATTGCCAAGTCTGTTTAAAATTTATTTTAAGGGTAAAGTTTGTCTTTCCCCTTCTTTCTTAAAGTTCAAATTTCTTTTTGGAACCAGTTTTAAGTTGTTATAGCATTGACTTAGGGCTCCGATTCGTACTTAGGTATTTTGTAAGTACGTAGTTAGAAAAGGACTTCTTGTTTAAA